TAAAACATATGCATAAAATTGTAAGTATAGAACTAGAGTGTGCCTTGAAGTAAGAGATCCGCCATGGAAGGGAGGCGATGTTCGATTACAGGTTCTTGAGCTACGGAATCTTCTGGTTCCTCTTTCTCGCGATGTTGATCGGAATTTTCCCACCGGAAAGCATTGCCGGCATCCACAAATATCTGCCACGTCGACATACTCTGTGAGGTTTTGCCTTATCGAGGCCCTGAGGGTTAAGTTTAAAAATGAAAATTGCTTCACTTTTTAGCTGAGAAAGCGGGAAACTATTTGAAGTAAACTCTGCCGCGCCGCGTTGAGCAAAATCAAATTGTGTTTGTGGGTCCAATAAATTCGGGCTTTTTCGGCCCAATTGACATTTTTTCGAGGAAATTTGATGGAAATAGCACTTTTTATTATTTTTTACTACCTTCTGGCTATAGAAGATAAAATCGGTTCATCAGAATATTTATCAAAAGATAGGGAGTTTATTTAATCCCACAAAATAAATGAGGAAATATTTGAATTTTATGCGTGGAAGTCTACATAATTTATTATTATTATATTATCGATATTCAACGTCCATACGTTAGAAATCCAATGTTTGTGAACTTGCAATGGCCAAGAAAGTCAAACAGTTGTTGCAGTAGTAATTGGAACATATGTCTTGTGATATTACCATAGCACGCATAGGGAGAAGAAATAGTTTTTTCGAATAATGTTATTCATAGTTAAAACCACTTTTTGTGCATCCCTCTTTAACTATGAATAATGTTATTCGTATTTTAATTATAAATTTTGAGTATATGCTTTCATTATGTACAAAAATGTTGTCAACAATTTTTTCTTTTTGATTTCATTTCTTTCCTCATAACGAGATAATTTATTTAGATATTTCAATTTTTAATATTTCAGGTACCTCAAATTCTTCTGAGACTTGACAATTTATTATTTCTATACACTACATGCCTCCTCAATGCGACCATGTTTACCATTTACTCCATTTTATTTTTACTTTATTTTTTGAGATTTTTGTCTTATTATCAAGTGTCACCACGCTTTGAGGTGTTGTAGATTTATCAAATATAACCCTATTTGGTTGTCATTTTTTGGGAGTGTAATGCACCAGCCGACCCTTCCAATGGGGGAGTGCCACCTCACTTGGGCACTCCCCCTTTTGTCATCCAAC